GGTTGCGTAAAGAAAAGAGATGAGCCTTTTTGATGCACTTACATAAAAAATAAAATATCTGTATTCCTCATTTGTTCCAATGTCTGTATTTTAATTCATTTAAGTGTAGAGGTTGGGATCAGGAAAATCTGATATGCACTGCCCAAAGATATTCCCTTTATCTTTTACATCTAGTTAAATATGCTTTAAATAATGTGAATATGTGCTATAATGACTGAATTTTATTTATACCATAATAGTATATGCTGTGCGTATATCTTAAAGAGATAAAATTGAAATTAGTCACAGAAAAATAATTCAAAGCACACAATTTATCCATGCATTGGGAGTACAATTATGAAAACCAAACTTCAGAATAGAATTAAGTAAAATTGTTAAGAAGTCCAGCAAAATGAACACTATTTAAGTCGGAGATAGATAAGAAATGGCTGCAAGTGCTGCAAACCTTTTAGTCTCCCTCCAGTGTTTCTTCAGAAAGATTAGCGGTCTCCAAGGAAGAAAATATCAAACAGCTTAATGAACATGATAAATTTAAGACCTGCTTCTAATATCATGTCTGCCTATGGAGAATTGGTGATTAGGACTGTTGTCACTCTTCACCTTTGTGTGTGTGCACATGCACGTATACACTAAAGTCCTGTTTTAACCTCAAAGATGTTTGCTGCCTCAAGTTTAACCACTAATCTAATTTAGTCAATTGTGGTCGGGACACAAACCCTGACAGTACATAAGCTCGGGTCATCTTCAGGGTCATGGGAGCCTGAGGGTTCTGCGCAGTATCTCAGCTGTTCCTAGGACTGCAATCTTCTTGGCAGAGAGTTTTCTTGGGATCTGTTGGAATCACTATTCCTGTATGGGGGTCACAGTGCTCCAGTGACCACTGGCACCACTGAGGCCTTGAATCTCCACAATTTCTTTTTCCTCTTTTAGTCCTTTGTATTTCTTACATTTCTCATGTTTTCTTTACAGTGTTACAGTCACTTGGAATTGCTACATCTATCACGAGTTGTCAACCACCCAAATGTCTGATTGGTTAGCTAGCAATTGTTTAACAGTATTTACCTTGGTGTCCTACAGTATCTTAGCCATGCCATTCTCCACAATCTTCATGAAGTCTCCCACTTTGACTGTGGAACCTCCAGCCCATGCTTGAGGTGAATGTTCCTGTACACTATTTCAGCCATTTGGTCAAGTATGCTTTGCCAGCCTGGATCTTACATTCTGCTATTATGTGCTTAACTGTCTAACTGGCAGATCAACTAGTGGTTCTATTAGGTTCCAGTTGTCAAAAAGTGGGACCGGAGGGTTTGTTCCAATTACAGGTGCAAAATACTCCATATCTGCACTGTTAAGGTAAATGATAAATGGACTGTACTTATATAGCGCCTTTCTATCTTATTTCAAGATACTCAAAGCGCTTTACACTACAATCTGTGTCCTCATTTACCCACTCATACAGCACTCTACATCTCTACAAAGCTAATTGAACAAATCATTCTAATGAGACTAATCAGTGCTTTTACATCACATTCATACACTGATGGGACACACATCAGAGGCAATGAGGGGTTCAGTGTCTTGCCCAGGGACACTTCGGCATGTGACTGCTGGTGGATTCAAACCCCCAACTCTCGCATTGGAGGACGACTGCTCTAACCATTCAGCCACAGCCGCCCTAGGTCTATTCAGGGGTGATAGAGAAAACAGCCCAATCGATGGTCGAACCTCAGAATCAGGAAGAACAATATGAATTTCGGCCCGTTCTGCCATGGAACACTGGACCAACTCTTTACTATCACTAAGGTCTTCCAAGGGGCATGGGCGTTTGCCCAACCAGTCTAGATGTGTTTTATGGACACGGAGAAGGTCATTCTATTTCCTGAGGTACACTTTGGGGGTTACTCAGTGAGTATGGGGTTGGAGGGTCTGTTGCCATGAGTCATTCAGTCCTTACAAAAGCAGTGAAAGAGTTTAATTCTCATTGCGGGCAGAAAGTCAGAACCCTTCAGTGTGGGAGTTGGACTATGCCAGGGCTGCCTGCGGTCAATAATTCTCTTCATAACTTTTATGGACAAAATTTCTCTGTGCAGCCAGGATGTAGAATGAGTCTGGTTTGGTCACCTCAGGAATCTAGTACTATTTGCGGATGATAATTGGTGTCATTTGCTGTGATCTCCAGCACTCACTAGAGAAGTTTGCAGCATAATGTGATGCAGCTGGGATGAGGATCAGCACCTTTTAATCTGTGGCAATGGTCCTCCATTGGTAAAGGGTTGATTGGGAGTGAGGCGCTGCTTCAAGTGAAGGAGTTCAAGTCTGGGTTTAGTTCACAAATGAGGGAAGAATGGAGCATGAGATTGAAAGGCAAATTGCAATCAAACACAGCATCTGCAGTATTTGCGGACGCTGTGCCTACCCTCACATATGGTCACAAACTTTGAGAAGTGAGCAAAAGGACAAGAGCATGGATACAAGCGGTCAACATGAGTTTTCTTCACATGGTAACTGGACTCTCCCTTGGAGACGGAGTAAGAAGTTACGTTATCCAGGAGAAACTTGAAGTAGAGATGCTGCTCCTCCACATTGAGTGCAGCCAGTTGATGTGGTTTGGTCATCTGATAAGGATGCCACCTGGATGTCTCACTTAGGAGAGTTTCCAAGCATGTCCGAGTGGAGAGACCAGGAAAGACTAAGGGCACGCTGGAGAGACCAAGTCTTTCAGCTGGCCTGCAAGCACTTTAAGGGTGCATTCACACCAGTCCTGTTTAGTCCGCTTTAATCGAACTCTAGCTCGTTTTCCTAAGAAGTCCGGTTCGTTAGGGCTAAAACCTAGGTCTCAGTCCGGTAGAAGAAAACTCCAGCGCGGTTCGAGTACAATGTGAATGCAATCAGACCGGGCCCCGCTCCACAAGCAAGAAGAGGAGTACAGCGCAGGGCAAACAAACACGCATTTCTCTTACCTCATATGGAGCCGTCAGCTGACTTGTGTGAAAAACAATATTCTCCATGGTCTTCTGCCTCATCTTCTGCTCATGCTGGGTCCATTTTTGAAAAATGACAAAATATAACTCCTAAAACTGCTAAAACTTGATGCCACTCCGTTTTTGTTTTTATTTCCAGAAGAAGAAGTGTCTTCAGAGGTTTTTGTGTCGTTTCTTTCAGTAGTTCTAGGTGCAGCGCCACCACAGGCGAGTGGGGGAACAGGTTGGTTCAACAGGTTGTCTCGACTGCACAGTGCAGTGCGAATGCAAATGCACCAGCTCAAATGTGAACAAAATGTTATGAATATTGGTTCCCAACCGAACCGAGTCTACTGGACTATCAGGTGTGAAAACAACCCAAGAGTCCCCCTAGAAGAACTAGAAGAGGTGGCTGTAGAAAGAGATTAAGCTGCTGTCCCTGCAATCTGATGCCAGAACAAGCAGAGGGAAGGAGAGAGGGAGGATGGATGGATGGCTAGCTGGGTGGCTGAATTGATGGATGGATCAACGGATGGATGGATCAACTAATTGATGGGTCGACTGATCAAGTTATCGACTGATGGATGAATGAATGGATGGATAGATGGGTGTCAAAGTCACAAAGTTCAAAACATCTACTAGAATTAGCTAATTTTACATGCAGTAATAAAACAACATGATAAGTGCTTTAAGGCTGACAGTTATTGCTCAAGGGCTTACACTGAGGACAAATATGAATGACAGCCAACCCTGCAGCATCATTTGTGGTGCGTCATGATGCTTAAAACTGCATGTGTTGAACTTGACATGCAATAAAGTTTGCTGATTGTAAGATTGCATAACTATATCCACTCATTTGAAAGGTAAACAGCTAATTTTTTCCTGTTGTTTTGTGGCAATTGGCAAATAATACGGTGGGTAAATTTTTGTTGTCATATTGCATTCTATGCATCATGAATCTAATTACACAATCTGCAGTGGTAATGGACTGGGATGCACGATTAATCAAAAAGTCTGTTCACACATAAATGTAATTTTAGTTCTAATCAATGGGGGTTTACGTGTATGTGTTTTCTGGCTTTCTGTTAAATGCTGCAGTTACACGCTCACTTGCTCACTTTAGAAACATGCAGACAGCAGAGCAGTCACAATCATCATTCACACTCACACAAAGTTAAACAAAACACTACTTATTCTATAACCAGGTTGAAATCAGTAAATGATTCAGTTACAAAACAGGATGACTTTTCTCATTTCACCAGTAGCCAGAGTGTTAGTGGAGCTAACTGGGCATGTAGTAATGCAACAAAAACTTAGGACTTTGAATGTCTAAATTAATTTGTGGTTTGGAATTTAGTTCTGTTGCTACTGCCACGAGAAAACACCTGAACTGCAAACATAGCTACTGAACTGCTCTCATGCCATACAGCAGCAGATCGCCATGTCATTATGATCACATGACCACCCGAGTCAAAACTTAACTGCTGGGTACAAAGACAACATGTACCATTTATTTTATATAAGATAATTTGCCTCTTTGAAAACTTAAAAGTTGTCCAACCCTGTGCTGTTGTTGGATGTGCAAATAGATGAAAAAGGGAAATAGCATTTCCTGGCATCGTATACAGAGTAAAAACAACCCATACAGACAAAATAAGTGTTTTTTGGCAATCAACAGAAGGGCTGGATTCAGAATAAACAGGTTGTGTTCAATTCCTATCAGATAAATTTGATTCTTTACAGGCAGATACAATCCTGTAATGTCTCCAACACACAGGTACAGCTGATGCTATCCTTGATACACACTGATTTGAACAGAACTGAAATAAAGAAAATACAACGTTCACAAAACGTGTAACTCATTTTTTTTCTAGAGATCTTGAAGCACAACAGAAAATTAGCTTGTTGAATTTATTATCAAACTCACAAATTTTTAGGTAATTAATTAGCCAATATTTTGTGATCCAGGGTGATTCACTGCTCCCCAGCCACAAGGATAAGCTAGACACAGAAGTTTGGTGAACCCAGTCTGCAGCTTACCTTCATGCACGGTCACCCCACAGTTGTCACACTGAATGATCTCATCTGCGTCCTCACTGTTGTCTCCTAAGCAAACACAGCAGATGAGGATGTGTTGAGTGTTCCAGGTCTGCGTATGGTCGAGCAACGTATCCTGGGAAATCAAGGAACAAATCCAACATAAAGCCACTTGACAGGAGACTGTCCAACACTGTTCTGAACACAGAGCCAATAATGCCTCACAGTAAATTCTATAATAAAGCTTGCACATGCTAAGAAGAACACAGTAAAAGAAATACATCTTAAAGAGTGCCAGTACTGCCTGAAACTCCAGCATTCATTATCTCTTTCACATAAAGTCCAACAGTAATTTGTATTTCCTTTTGTAACAATTTAAGCTGAGAAAATGCAGATAGCTGAGCGGCCACTGGCCAAAACGTGGCTTATTTTAGGAGTTTAATGTGCACCAAGTACTTAAAGCTTCAACCTATTTCATTTGAAAGAGAAACATTTTCTAGTTGTTTTGAGCCTGGCTGTACAAAAATTTGAGTGCCGGAAGGGCTGTTGTTAACAAAAACATATATTTTCAGTCCTAAAGTATCCATACTGTATTGGCATTAAGATGGTACCAGTGGAGACTATTTAGTTTTTTTCTGAAAACAATCAATAGATGTGCATCTACAAATTACTAACTTTTAAAAAAATCACCCTAATTTACAGTGAAATGCCTGTCAGTGTGACAAGTGACCTTTGCAATAACTAAAGATGATAATAACTCAGCCAAGGCATTGTGCCAGAAGGTAGATGCAAGAAATTCTTTGATTCTTGTCCTATTGGACCTTACATCTGCATTTGACACCACTGACCATGAGATCCTCATTTCTAGGCTGGAGCAGTGGGTGGGAATCACAGGGTGAGCCCTCAGATGGTTTGGTCCTAACTCTCAGATAGAACCTTTTGTGTCAACATCAAAGATTTTATTTCAACATCGGGATCACTTCAGTGGGGAGTACCGCAGGGCTCCATTCTCTGACCTCTTCTCTTTTCTTTATACCTGCTGCCACTAGGTGCTATTTTTCATGAACAGGGAATATATTTTCATTTTTATGCTGATGACTGTCAAATTTACTTCCCTCTGAAGCACACTGGTGCACGTTCTATCCAACCTCTTCTTGACTGCCTGGTTGACATCAGGGATTGGATGGCTTTAGATTTTTTTATTTTTATTTAATGAGTTGTACAACCTAATGGCACAACCAAGAACCACTATATCAACCTTTTCTCTCTAGTCCTGTTAGAGAAACAAGTTGTCACTAACCTGGGAGTAAAAATGGACCCTTCCATGAAACTAAACAGTCATGTAAACACGATTGTTGAGGTCTGACATTGTAAGATCAGAGCTGAACTCACCTCATTACCCTTTCCTTGGGACATGCTGTCATTGGTCAGTTCATCATCAAAGGCACTGCTGCTCTTCACCTTCTTCTTGGGTTTCTTCACCTCTTTATCACTATCACTGCTACTATTGTTATTGTCATCACCATCTTCTTTGCCATTATCATCGTCATTTTCATCATCATCCTCGTCGTCGTCATCATCATTATCATCATCGTCGTCGTCGTCGTCATCATCATCATCACTAGCACTACCCCCTTCATCTTCCTCTGAGTCACCTTTCTGAGTAGCTGTCTTGCCTTTCTTCTTTCCTGCGGTGGGCCTCCAATCGTTATCGTCTTCACTATCATAATCGTCTATTTCATTCAGTTCTTCCATGGTAGTAAAGTCCAACAGAGGCCGATTCCTACGAAAGTTCCATTTCTTAGGCTCCGTCAAAGACTCCTCAACATTCACGCTGCTGCCTCCAGAAGCTGAGGCGGATTCGGCTTCATCAGCTGCAGTGGGGCCTGATTCTGTTGTTTTCTTGCTCTTTCGTCTGCCTTTGGATGCGGCAACAGAAGGGGCATCTTTAGAGAAGCTATCTGAGGAAGGCTGCTGTTTATTCTTCTCCTCATCCTCAGTTAAGTTATCTTCAGCAACAAGGTCTTTGGCCTCTTCATCTATACCATCATTTGCAGAAGCAGCATTCTCTGAGTCACTTTCAGAACCAGCAGCACTCACTTTAGACTCGTCCTCATCACTGCCATTGCCTGTGCCTTCAGAGCCTGCCAGAACACGAAGCAACATGAATAGAGGAAAACAAGTTAGTGATGTCGCTCTTATTTGATTTTTGTCAGGTTAAAATTAGACTTAGGTGGTTCAGTGTTGGTCTCAAGGACCTTTTATAGTAATTACTCTAAGAATAGAGGAAGACAAGTTGTAATGCAAGTGTTCAGTGATGGCTCCAGACGATCGAAATAAACACAGAATGATAAAGAAAATACTTTTTTTTTTTTTTAGAAAGAAAACGTTCAGAAAAGTATTTGGCTCAAGTTCCCTCAGAGGTCACACACTACCAGAACTGTCTTGACCAAAAGCAACTCAACAAGTCATTTGTGTTCACTGTTGCTGCCAACAGAACATCTGGATATCTAGAGCAGACAGAAGTTATATGAAAATAATGGCTGACTACAATGTGGCTCTTAATTCAAAATAGTTTTTTTAAAGGCACGCCAATCCAGTTATTTTATGCAGCCAAGTAATGGCACAAAAACCCTAAAACAAACAATACGAAGACAGTCAGTGCTTTCCTTTGGAAAGGACAGCTTTCTTTGATCATTTTGGAATTCAATTTAAAATTTTTGGTGACATTTTTATAAAAAAAAAAAAAAAAAAAGCTTTTTCTTAACAATCACAGTGTTTTTCAAAAGTTAGCGTAACGTTGACAATGAACCTAAAACCAGCATTTTGCAGTCTCTACCATCTGTGTGACGTAATAAAGAGTCAAGGCAACTTCAGACATTACATCTAATGCTCAGATTTAGAGCAGAACAATGTTTGATTATTTTTCTCAAATGTAATGGCATTTGACGTACTTGAAATCACAAAGACCAAGTTTACCTGAAGCATCTCCAACTTGGAAGTCACTGTCATCTGAGCTGTCGTAGTCCAGAACATCCAGGAGAGAGGCAGCAAGTGGCTTTACCTGCCGTCGCTTCACGCTGCGCTCCACTGAGATACAAAACAAGAAAATGGGATAAATATATATATATATATATATATATATATATATATATATATATATAAATATGTATATGTATATATATATATATATGTGTGTGTGTGTGTGTGTGTGTGTGTGTGTGAGAGAGAGAGAGAGTTCTTATGAACATGTTTAGCATATTTAGATTCAGTAGCTCAAAACAAAACCATAGGAAACTACTTTAGTAACTGATGATATGTAAAACCCTCAACGGTTTCCAAAAATTAATTAAAAGGCCCGAACAACAAACTGGAATGTAGTGCAGCAGTTTCGACATTTATAATACCAAAAATACACTCATTAACAAAAAGAGTTAGGCACCCTGTGGTGGAAATGAAACTGAATTAAACGTTTTTATATGAAAATATCAGCAGAAGCAAAATGAGTTAAAAAACAGCGCTATTAATAATTGTGCTGTGTCATCAAGTATTCAAAACATGTCAGATTCAATAAACAGAATATCTAATAAAACTGGAAGTTAAATATGTGAGCTCATATCCACCTTATTCCTGGGGGCTCTGCTGTATAAATGATTATGGTAGAACGTCCTGTCAGACAGGAAGTAGCAGTAAGCACTGGTTACCATGGTAGCAGAGCATGGACCGCAATTTATTTGAAAGTACAAACCGGATTCCAAAAAAGTTGGGACACTAAACAAATTGTGAATAAAAACTGAATGCAATGATGTGGAGGTGCCAACATCTAATATTTTATTCAGAATAGAACACAAATCACAGATCAAAAGTTTAAACTGAGAGAATGTATCATTTTATATTTTATTCAGAATAGAACACAAATCACAGATCAAAAGTTTAAACTGAGAGAATGTATCATTTTAAGGGAAAAATCTGTTGTTTCCAAATTTCATGGCATCAACAAATCCCAAAAAAGTTGGGACAAGTCCATTTTTACCACTGTGTGGCATCCCCCCTTCTTCTTACAACACTCAACAGACGTCTGGGGACAGAGGAGACCAGTTTCTCAAGTTTAGAAATAGGAATGCTCTCCCATTCATGTCTAATACAGGCCTCTAACTGTTCAATCGTCTTGGGCCTTCTTTGTCGCACCTTCCTCTTTATGATGCGCCAAATGTTCTCTATAGGTGAAAGATCTGGACTGCAGGCTGGCCATTTCAGTACCTGGATCCTTCTCCTACGTAGCCATGATGTTGTGATTGCTGCAGAATGTGGTCTGGCATTAATGCAGGGTCTTCCCTGAAAGAGATGACGTCTAGATGGGAGCATATGTTGTTCTAGAACCTGAACATAGTTCTCTGCATTAATGGTGCCTTTCCAGACATGCAAGCTGCACATGCCACAAGCGCTCATGCAACCCCATACCATCAGTGATGCAGGCTTCTGAACGGAGCGTTGATAACAACTTGGGCTATCCTTGTCCTCTCTGGTCCGGATGACATGGTGTCCCAGTGTTCCATAAAGAACTTCAAATCGTGACTCATCTGACCACAGAACAGTCTTCCATTTTGCCACATTCCATTTTAAATGACCCCTGGCCCAGTGCAAACGTCTGAGCTTGTGGAACTTAGAAATGGCTTCCTCTTTGCACTGTAGAGTTTCAGCTGGCAACGGCAGATGGCACGGTGGATTGTGTTCACTGACAATGCTTTCTAGAAGTATTCCTGAGCCCATTCTGTTATTTCCTTGACAGTGGCATTCCTGTTTGAGGTGCAGTGATGTTTAAGGGCCTGGAGATCACGAGCATCCAGTAGAGTTTTATGGCCTTGACCCTTACGGTCAGCGATTGTTCCAGATTCTCTGAATCTTTTGATGATGTTATGCACGGTTGATGATGATAACTTAAAAGTCTTTGCTATTTTACGCTGGGTAACACCATTCTGGTATTGCTGCACTATCTTTCTGCTCAACAATGGTGGAATTGGTGATGCTCTTACCATCTTGGCTTCTGAGAGACACTGACACTCTGAGAAGCTCTTTTTATACCCAATCTGTTGTCAATTGACCTAATTAGTGTTAATTGGTCTTCCAGCTGTTCGTTATATACTCAATTTCCTTTTTCCAGCCACTTATTGCTACTTGTCCCAACATTTTTGGGATTTGTTGACACTGTGAAATTTTGAATCAACATATTTTTCCTTTAAAATGTTACATTTACTCAGATTAAACTTTTGATCTGTCATCTATGTTATATTACGAATAAAATAATGACATTTGCCATCTCCACATCATTGCATTCAGTTTTTATTCACAATTTGTTTAGTGTCCCAACTCTTTTGGAATCCGGTTTGTAATTTACATTCAGTTTAACAGATAAAATTCTGTTTTTGTTTTGTTTGCATTTATTTAACAACCATAAACTAGGCAAACTACTAACTGAACTAGGCTAAAGGGCTTTCTCCTACTCTGCTCCTGTATCCTGGAACATCTTGCAAAAAGATCTGAAGCTCTCAACTTTTAACTCTCTGAGTGGCTTCAAACATCTGCTAAGTTCATGGCAAAAACCAATGCAGACCTGTTCTTGTGTTTAGTATTTTACATCGATTTAAAATGTAGCTGTTTCTGTTTTGTTTTTTTTCATATAATTTTCTTTGATTTGTTTATTATATATATATATATATATGTATATATATATATATATTATGAATGATTGTCTACTGTTGTCATCACTCTCTGTTAAAAACAGGTCTCTCTTGTAAATGAGTCCTCAGGGCTCAATGAAACTAACCTGTATAAATAAAGGTTGAATGAATTAAATTGACTAAAAGAGCCGTGCTGAGTTCAGGTACCTGTTGTGTTCACGGCTGCAGAACAACCAGACCAAACTAAATCAGTGGCTACAACAACAGAGTTTTGAACATGGACTCAAAACAAACAAAAAAAGAGTTCCTGTGAATAGCAGTATAGTTTCCATCTCCTACCTATAGATGAGGAATTAAGAAGAATGTGGCTGAAACATATGAACTTAAAGAGACCACCTAAAACGTTGTATATGAGCTCATTTCACTTTGTTGACAAACGGCCGATGGAAGAAAACCTGCATCCTACTTTGTGTCTGGACTACAATAATCCACCGGAGAAGAGATGCCGGATCCTCAGAAGAATTGAAAACAGTGTGATGAGAATATCAGGTCTGATTTAAGTGTATGGAGGGAACAGTATTATAGTATTTGTTCGACTTCAATTTTATGATTTTCTCTGTAATTAACCCAAGCTCAGTGATGGAGGACTTTAAGGCTTTGGCTGGGCTCCATGTCCGCTTTAAGGTAAATAAGATTGTGTCCCACCTCTTTTAACAAAACATGACTGACCTTATTACTGTGTAGATACTGATACTCCTCAGAGTTTTTCAGATTGTTCATCGTTTCACTGTCAGAAGAGCCGAGTCAATGAAGTAGCTAAATATGCTAGCAGATGTAATCTGCAGCACTTCTTCAGCTCGTCCTCAGCAGGCAGTGGTATGATTATACTGTCCCGTTTGAGCTCTGACAGCTGGTGTTCCTACATGTTTAAATTAAATACACAATGTTCTGAGAAACTACATTAGCTCGTACTGTTCGCACAGGAACAAATGCCGGTTCAGGTCCGCGCCAGAAATCACGCCCGTAACTCACGCAGGGCAGAATGGGGGCTAGAAATAAGGTGGATATGGTTTACTGAAGTGTGATGGTAATGGGATTACACAAGCCAAACACTTGGAAAACATGAAATAAAAAGTTGCTTAGCTGCACAAACGAGAAAATCTTTAAACAATACAGACTCCTCGTCTATCAAGAGGCAACAATTACCAGGTTAACTGGTTTAAGTTTGCCACATTAACTGGATTATCTTGTGTTGCATACAATCAAAACTGTCCAAGATTATTATTACTGTTTATTTAAACTGTGGCTGCTAATAATTACATTGAAGTCAAAGTAATTCTTGCAGGACAAGATGATTTGTTAACAAAACATCACCCGTTATTCTTTAACAGGGCTGTACTGCTAAGAAACAATGTAGAGGCGGACAAAATAATTTTATTATAAAATTGAGGAAAGCGGCTTCATTAGTATTCACAACAAATATAATAACCTGACCCTTCTGGCAGCGCTGTGTAAACTTTAAAACTGTGGCAGTATTTTCTGGAACGACCATGTAAACACAGCACAGATCAGTAAGCAAAACTAATCGTGTGGACTCGCAGACGAGCCTGTGTGTGAGTGGACAACAGACTACACGTGCTTCTTCCACCTTCTGCTCAGTGACCAACTCCTCCACCAGCTCACAACTGTACGATCAAGTTCTTGTTTTTCCTCAAACATGCAATTCCAGTTTAATACAGACAAACGTTAGTGGTTAGTGAAGGCTGACATAACAACAGATTACACAAATAGTTAGCTATAGGACTGGACTGAAGGAGAGTCAAAACTAGCCAATGTCCAACAAACAAGAAGAAATGCATATCATCCACCATCTAGCATGCATAAGTTTTAAACAAAGCTCTTGTAGATGAACAGATGCGGAGATATATTCATCAATTAAAACGGATTCTTCATTTTTCTGGACTGAATAAAACGTGCATTGAATTTAATGAAATGTAAACGTGAGACGTCATTTATCTTTGACCCATCAAAATGAATGCGGTCATTTATTTTACAGAATCAAAGTTTAACATCAAACATTTACATTAATTTGGCAAAATATGAAAATAACAACATAATTAAACAGCTTTACAACCAGGAAAACCATACGGCCATGATTTTCCGTTGCTTCACCACAGACATTAACGAAAACTGTACAATTATGATCAATTATCCACACGGCGGTGGATGAGCACTTTACACAGACATTTCTAAATTATCTGGAAGGATTTCTACTTGAGAGAATTTAAAGATGGAAAGATGGAGTTTAAAGGGAGTGAAAGATGGTGTGTGAGGGGGAGTGTTGACCAGAACCGACACTCTCCATTCGAACCCAGCTTTTCCTCGGTACGCTTTGGTAGTAAACTTGACTCA